CCAGGCCGTTACGCCCCGGCCGCCGACGCGCGCCGTTCCGACCTTCAACCTTCTCACAGTTGATACGGCAATACCCGGGCCCGGAGGTTTGATCTTCATCGTCGCTGTCTCGGCATATATGTTTCCTACCGGGGCCATGATAATAAAGTTGGATAGCAAAATTTCCGCTCGTTGATTTTTTTCCTCCGACGAATTCGAAAGGTTAGGAGTTCTCAATTCGGACACAGTAATCTTAAAGAATTGCCTCACGGGTCGAAAGAAAGAATTTTTGTAACTCTTGTTTATCTCCAGCGAAATTCTTCTCATATACAAGAAAAGGGAAAAACGGAGGGCCATTAACAAAGAGTTCTATGGGACGGATGGGTAGTAAGAGAAGTGGAATGATATGGATAGAAGATTACACACTTTATATAGACGGATGAAACGATTCGCGTGCACGCTTTTACTGCCCAGGTGTTTTGAAAAGCGGATAAGACGCCTCGAAATCGGCCGTAACGTTCCAACTGCCAGCTGTTTCTAAACCATTCAAAATTTTAAATTTTAAAAATAAACTTTCGAGTAGAAGCGCGAAGGGGGTATGCGAGCAATATGCGGTAATTCGCATACCCCATCGCATAACTGAAATAACAGAAAGATGAAAGAAATAAAAAATAAACTTTTGAGTAGAAGTACGAAGGTGGTGTGCGAGTAATATGCGGCAATTCGCATACCCCATCGCATAACTGAAATAACTGAAAGATGAAAGAAATAAAAAAATAAATAAAAAATACACTTTCGAGTAGAAGTGCGAAGGGGGTATGCGAGCAATATGCGGTAATTCGCATACCGCCTCGCATAACTGAAAGATGAAAGAAATACGAAAAAAAACTTATTATGCACTAATTCTGCGAATAATATGCGACGTTGGCATGTCTCAGTTGTGTCACAGAATAATTCTTTCGACTAATAGTCGCAGTTCATTCGCCTAACAAAAATAATTATTTAATGGGCGACGGACCGCGATTGACCGAATCGCACATCGAATCTCCGAATATTCATCGTAGAACAGTCGCATACTTAACTCATAATTTTTTCGCCCATGCTCATACATGTCGCCTATTTAGTGCATAGTTCATCGCATATGTCTTCGTACTTTTTGGGGTGAAAAACTTAGCTTTTTATTGGGTGGTGTGAAAAACTTAGTATGACTTCAGAACGGGGTGAAAATAGCTATTTCCTCTAACATATATTTCTCGCACCATAGCGTTTCGAAGCAAAATCGTATACATTTAAAGAATTCGAGGAAAATAAGAGTAATTATGGGCAAAAAGAAAAAATAATCAACGTCTCCAGAAAGGCTTGTTTTTTAACACGACACCATTATTTGATGTGAATAACATATATTTCTCGCACCATCGCGTTTCGTAACAAAATTGTATACATTTAAAGAAGTCGAGGAAATAAGAGAAAATAGGGGCAAAAACAAAAAAGTAATCAACATCTCCGGAAATGCTTGTTTTCGAACACGACACCATTATTTGATGTGGATAACATATATTTCCCGCACCATCGCGTTTCAAAGAAAAATCGTATACATATAAAGAAGTCGAGGAAAATAAGAGTAAATAGGGGCAAAAACAAAAAAAAAATAATCAACGTCTCCGGAAAGGCTTGTTTTCGAACACGACACCATTATTTGATGTGAGTAACATATATTTCTCGCACCATCGCGTTTCGAAACCAAATCATATACATTTAAAGAAGTCAAATAAAATAAAAGTAAATAGGGGCAAAAACAAAAAAATAATCAACGTCTTCGGAAAGGCTTATTTTCGAACACGACACCATTATTTGATGTGAGTAACATATATTTCTCGCACCATCGCATTTCAAAACCAAATCGTATACATTTAAAAAAGTCGAATAAAATAAGAGTAAATAGGGGCAAAAACGAAAAAATAATCAATTTCTCCGAAAAAGCTTGTTTTCGAACACAACACCATTATTTGATGTGAATAACATATATTTCTCGCAC